AATAGGTGAATTTACCAATGCTTACGTCGCAAAAGGGAGCTCTGGTGGCTGTGGTTAAGGTATTCAGCTGCTAACCACCAGCTGCTCCTTGGGAGACTGATGAGGCAGTCTGCTTCTGTAAGGATTTACAGCTTTGGAGACGCTATGGGGCAATTTTACTCTGTTCTATAGGGTCACTATGAGTTGGAATTGATGCAGTGGCAGTGAGTTTGGTTTTGATAGCTCACAAAGCCAAAAGGTTAGAATGAAGTTCTTGGAAAAAGGTTACTTGTGGTAGAAATCAGATAGATATTCATATAATAGATCTGTGAAGTCATAGGTGAGCATTCAAAAAAGGAGTTCTCAGAAATGCTGGTCCTTAACTAGCATTATCTTGTCATAGAAACCCAGTCTTAAAGGATGACATGCCAAAAGCTAAACCCACTGCTATTGAGTCAATTCCGACCCATAGTGACTCCAAATGGGTTTCCGAGGCAGTAAATCTTTTTTTTTTTTTTTTTAAATTGTGATCTGGGTGAAAATTTGCAGAGCAAATTCACTTTCCGTACAGCAGTTCATGTACACTTTGTCTCATGACATTGACCACAATTTACCACAATGCAACAGCTCCACTCCCACTTCCTCCCTCTACAGTCACCTCTTCCTGTGTCCATCCCTCCATGCACCCCTGCCCCCTTAGCTGTCTCCCTGTGCATAAGCAGCCCTTCTTTCTCCCATGATTGTTCTCTCCAAGGAGTGTATCTACCTCAGGTAAATGTTCAACTCCTATGCCTGTCTTTTGCTTTGCTGGAAGCCACAGGTATGGGTTCAATTCCAGACCTGAAGGGCAGCTAGGGGCCATAGTCTCAGTGGTTCCACCAGACTCCATCAGACCAGCCAACCTGGTTCCCCCTTTTTTTTCCAAATGATTTTGAGTTTTGTTCCACATTATTCTCTCTATCCAGGATCTCTTACATAGATCCCCCTCTGAGTGGTTGACAGTGGTAGCCGGGCACCATCTAATTCTTCTGGTCTCATAGTTGTGTAGGCTGCAGATCGCGTGGTGTACCAGTTGCTAGGACTAATTGTTTCCGTAAATCTTTGGTTTACTTCATTCTTCTTTGCTCTGAATGAGGAGAGGCCCATCATTGCATCTAGATGGCTGCTTGCAAGCGTTTAAGATCCCAGTTGGTACTCACCCTGAGCTGTTTCACTGAAGTAGGAGGTGAAACAATGTTTTGTGTAGTGTGTTAGAGGCAGTAAATCTTTATGGAAGTAGATTGCCTCAGCTTCCTTCCATGGAGAAGCTGGTGGATTTGAACCATCAGCCTACTGGTTAGCAGTCGAATGCCTTAGGCACTGCACCACCAAAACTTCCTGTAGATGACATAGGAATGAGTAATAAATAATCACTAATAGATTTTGGTGCAAAGTTGGTGGGGAAAATGAATCTGGGACAAAAAAGTAGTAAATGGTGGTTGTTTGATGATGATCATAACTCTTCCCCTGTCTGATCAAAGGACCCATCTTTTTAGGCCATGGTGATTTGAGACAGTGACTCAAGTTGTTCATGTGACTCGCTAGTTTCTGATCTGCTAAGCTCAGGGTCAGTCCTCTGATCTGAGGGAGGTGTAGGCATTCCCATGTGGAATTTATTGGGAAACTTTTGGGAATCTGACTCTTCAGTTGGAGGATGAAAATAAATCAGGTAACAAAACAATCAGGTAACCTACACAATAAGATTTATAACTGTGATGATTTTTCCTGAAGGAAAGAGCTCAAGGGTTGACTTATTTTCAAAAGCATAAGACCGACCCAGCCAGCACTTAGTTCTGTGTGGCTCACTATAGCTGACACCTTTTGTGCCCCTTCCTCAGCTATTTTTTGTCAGTACATGTCTCTTGGGTTGTTGTTCCTGTTCCTCTTTCCCATCTTGTGTTCCTGCATTGACCTTCAGGACTGGCATGCTTGCTCTTGGGGCACTTTTTGTTCCATGTTCTCCCCTTTCACTTGGTCTCATGGCTTTTACTTGCATAGCCAGGTGGACTCTGAACCCACATCCCAAATTCACCTCCGCCTCTCTACCAGCATGTCCTTTTATAACCCTAAATAATGGCCCAATCTCAACTTTCTCCTTCCCTTCCTACTTCCTCTGTTCTGCACTTACTGAAACCTTTCTGATTATTCTTATACTTTTATCTCCTTTTTTCAGTGGTTAACCATTTACAACATCAGGTTAAATTTGACATAAAGGTAGGTTTTATAGCATCACCTTATTATTTCCATTGCCACAGGCACATTGTCACCTCAAGCATGAATTGTTGAAATAGCTTTGTAACTAGATGCCCCCCTTGCCTCCCTCCTATCCCTCATTGCCCAGTCCATACTGTGTACCATTTTCAGGTTCATTTTTGAAAGTTCTGCTTTTGTTATATTTGTTAATTCTTCTTTCTATTATTCTCATGCCAGTGGCTCCCTACTGCCTACAGGGTAAAGATTCTATTTTTCAGCTAGGCATTTGAGGTCCTTTGTAGTCTGACTCCAACCTGTTTTTCAAAATGCATCTTTAACTCTTTAGCATTAATTCTCACTCTTCTTCCCATCTTCCATTTTATTTCTGTCCCCAAGCTTTGGTTTATGCTGTCCACTTCCCTGGAATACTCTTTCTTTGTCTCTCCTTTCTCCTTCCAAGTATTCTCCAACTTTTGAGACTAAATTCAGTTCAGTTCCTACCTTTTCTTTGCCGCTTCATGTCACATCGAATGCTCATCCCTCTGTGCTCCTGTCATAGTGTAAATGTGCTTGACAGGTCCAGTCATTAAGCAACCATTATCGAAGTTCACTCTGTGCCAGGCATTGTGTCTAGGTGGGTGCTGAGGTACAAAGAATATGTAGGATCTGGTTCCTGTTTTTTAGGATAATTATTGTGTTGTTGTTGTGTCCCATCAAGTTGGACCCAACTCATAGCGACCCCTTCTTGGGTTGCCGAGGCAGTATCACTATGGAAGTAGATTGTCCAACCTTCCTTCTGAGGAGTGGCTGGTGGGTTTGAACCGCCAGCCTTCTGGTTAGCAGTCAGATGCCTTAGGCACTGTGCTACCAGAGCTCCTAATTATTGTGTAGTGGTGGAAATAAATAGGCAAATGCATATAGGATCCAGCGCCGTGATGAAACTTTAAGAGAATCATGAACACAGAGGGGGCCACATAAGGTTGCTCTATGGTCTGGGGGTGTGATGTTTCAACTGAAGTTTAAAGCAGGAGTAGATGTTCCTGGGTGGAAGGACAGTAAGACATTCTGCCAGCATGGGCTAGCTAGGCAGCACCATGAGGGAGGAGGAGGAGGAAAGAGAGCAGTGCAGTTTGCCCTGAGAGAGGAGTGAACTGTTTAGAGATGAAAGATGGTTATATTTTGTTGGTAGGAAAATAACTTTGTCAATATTGCCATTGTAAGTTACCACTGAGTTAATTTTTGATCGACTTATAGTGACCCAATATGACAGAGTAGTACTGGCCCATAGGATTTTTTAGGCTGTAATCTTTACGGGAGTAGATCACCAGATCTATCAGAACTGCTGGGTGGGTTTGAACTACCAACCTTTCAGTTAGCAACCTCACCATTGTGCCACCAGGGTTTCTTTTGTCAGTATTACATACAGTATATTAAATGGCTTCTTTGGAAAGGGGGTATAGTTGAGAGAAGGAGAATAGGAAGGAAATGCATTAGGAGGTTACTGTAATAGAAGCAAGTAGCAGAAATGGAGAAAAGACCCTACCTTATTTTCCTATGTTGGTCTGAATGTGTTTAGTTTCCTCAACCAGATTATAAGCTTGACAGTCACAGTGTGTGGTCTATGTATTTATCTTTGTAATACCTACTGTACTTAGCATCTTGCTGTGTCCATAAAAGGTAATTAATGCATATGTTAATGATATGGCTTATACATTGTTTATCATCTTCCCACTAGACTCCAGGCATGTGAAAGCAATGCCTCACTCATTGTAGACACTGAATAATAATAATATGTCAAACACAACAGCATTTATAATGTAAGTAATGTAAATGTGACTGTAAAACTAAAAAAGAATAAAATGTGCAACACTATGCAAAAATGGGAGCTCTGGTAGTATAGTGCCTAAGGCACTTGACTGCTAACCAGAAGGCTGGCAGTTCAAACCCACCAGCCACTCCTCAGAAGGAAGATGGGGCGATCTACTTCCATAGTGATACTGCCTCGGGAACCCAAGGAGGGGTCGCTATGAGCCAGGTCTGACTCAACGGCACATAACAACAACAACATGCAAAAATATTCAAAAGAATAAAATATGTAAAAATATTCACATATTTAAAGGTGACATTATGTGACTGAATGAGCCAAAGCCCCACTGGGCTTGATTTCTATGAAGGAAAAAAAAATCCTAAATATTTTATCCTTGTGTGATAAATTCATAATGAAAGATAATTCAGGAAAATTCTATAATGACAGTTCCAAAAAAAAAACAAAACAAAAACCCCAAACTCACTCTCATCGAGTCAGATCTGACTCATAGCGACCCCTTGGGTTTCCAAGGCAGTATCACTATGGAAGTAGATTGGCCAATCTTCCTTCCAAGGAGTGGCTGGTGGGTTTGAACTGCCAGCCTTCTGGTTAGCAGTCAAGTGCCTTAGGCAGTATGCCACCATACCTTAATTAAAGTTAGAAGGTGACAAATGTTTTTAAAAAAAGAAACCCATTGGTGTCAAGTGAACTACGACTCATAGTGACTCTTTAGGACAGGGTAGAACTGTTCATGGGGCTTCCAAGGCTATAAATCTTTATGGAAGCAGTCTGCCTCATCTTTCTCTCCCATGGAGAGGCTAGTGGGTTTGAACCATCAACCTTCTGGTTGGCAGCCAAGCACTATAACCACTGCACCACCAGGGCTCCTTCAGATATTGTTTAGGTGGTTTGAACGTTCTCCTATTCTGATGTATTTTCTCTCTCATTGCTTCCTCCAGATATTATATAAGCTACTTTAATCATGGGAGAAATAGAGCAGAGGCCAACTCCAGGATCGCGACTAGGAGCCCCAGAGAATTCGGGGATCAGTACCTTGGAACATGGACAGAAGCCTCCCCCAACACCTTCAGGAAAACTCATGTCCATCAAAATCCAGATGCTGGATGACACCCAGGAAGCATTTGAAGTTCCAGTAAGTTGGGAATTTATCTGTGAACTCCAGTGTGTGGGCAGCCTATGTCATGGGAGGTCAATCTCATTCCTGTGTGTCAGTGATGAGGTGGCAGACAGGACAGGGTCTGTGTATTCAGCACCTTTCTCCAAATCCTCAACACACTCCTCTAACTCATTCTGCTTCTGGTCCATCTGACTTTCTGACTTTTAGATTTATATGTGAATAATTGATGGTGGTACTAATGACTTTGTGACTTGATTATTATGATTTTACATACACAAATATATATATGTATATTAATATATATGAATATATTTGCTAAATGTTTGTATTGGAGGGAAATATGACTTTGTAGTTTCATTTGCTTATCATAGTTTCTCTTTCATATTTGCAGTGTGTGTGTGTGTGTGTGTGTCCATGTCCATCCATCCCTCTTCTTTAGGTTTGGCAAGAAAAATCCCAAAAAAACATTAAAGAGTTGTATGTGTGTTTTAATGTTGTGAGAGCAGGAGAGAAGTTGACAGCCATGTTCTTATCCTCTGTGGGTGAGGGTTGGATGGTATTGAAAAACCCTGATCTAAGCCCACTGAGTTGCCCTAGCAATGAAGAGTCCTGCTAACTCAGGGGCCAGGGAAGAAAACAAGGGGTGGCAAGGACCTGGCACAGAGAGGAATGAACCAGTAGCCTTGGCCTCTGTATCTCCAACCAGTTAGAGCCCCTGTCCTTGGCATTTACACCCCTCCCCCTTTTCTTTTTTTTACTATTTCCATTTTTTTTTTTAAAATAATTATAGCTTTATTGAGGTACAATTTACACACTCCACAATTCACCCATTTAAACCATAGAGTTGAATGGTTTTTAGTATATTCACAGAGCTGTGCAACCATCACCATGATCAGTTTTTCTACATTTTTGTCACCCCAGAGAGAAACATTTCTCCCTTGGTCTACCAACCGAAGACAACTACCCATCTCCTTTCTGTCTCTGTGGATTTGACTCTTCTGGAAATTTCACAGAAAAGAAGTCAGCATTGTGTTTTAGGGTTCATCCATGTCATTGCAAGGTATCAGAATGTCATTCCTTTTTCATGGCTGCATGGGTAGGCCCCTTGTTTCTCCATTCATCACTAGAGGTTTTTGGTGATACTCATTCCTCCTACCTGGACTTTGGGGGTGGGGCTGGGAAGAGGGAGCAGTGAGGGAAGGAAGCAGCTGGGGAGCCTCTGGTTTTGCAGCACAAAGCAGGGAGGGCTGTTGAGCCATAACCTTAAGGTGTCCAGGCTGGAGGGAGCAAATGGGTAAGGAGGCAAGAGAGTATAAGCACCCATTCCAAGGAGAAAAAAAAACCCACTGCTACTGAGTTAATCCTGACTCATAAACGACCCCCATTGCATTCCCAAGGGAGCTCTGGTGCCATAGTGCCTAAGACATTTGACTGCTAACCAGAAGTCTGGCAGTTCAAATCCACCAGCCACTCCTCAGTAGGAAGAGTGGGCAATCTACTTCCATAGAGATACCACCTTGAAAACCCAAGGAGGGGTTGCTATGAGTCAAATCGACTTGTTGGCAGTGAGTTTTGGTTTGTTGTGTTTCCACAGTGGTAGATCTTTACAGAAGTAGATTGCTTCATCTTCCTTTCACAGTGGCTAGTGGGTTTCAACCACCAACCTTCTGGTTAGCAATCAAATGTTTTAGGCACTGGGCCACCAGACCTCCTTATTCCACAGAGGGTGACTAAATGGAAGCAGAAGGAGGAGCGTAGCTGGAAGGGGATAACAGGGTCAGTGTGTTCTGTTTGTTTTAAAATACCCCCACTTCTCTTTCTTCCCCATAGTTCTGCTTTTTTTCCTCAGAGCCCCTGCTTCCTCATCCCAGCCCTCCTCCTGCCTTCTTTCCAACCCTCTCCTTACATAGAGCTCCTGCTAGAGGTTAAGGGAAAGTTCACATGGAAGATTTCTTGTTCCCAAGGCGAGAGAGTAAGTAGGATATGTGTGTCTGATTCTCTAGAATTATGATTGTACTTTACTCAAAAAAAATCATTCTCCTTGCACTGGTTAAGGTTTATAGAATTCTTAACATACTATGCATTTAGATTTTTCAGTTTGGCTTGAGCAGCAAAGCACCATGTCTAACATTGTTTTGTGGAGGAAGAAAATAACCTTGGAATTCCAAACAGCTAACTTATAAACAAACTTTGGGAACACAACCCATTTTCTAAATGGAGACTATCTGCCTATTATTCATGTTGGCTAGACAGACCGAAATTTAATCGTTGGCATTAATCTTTGTAACCCATCATTTAATCATTTATGTGATACGATTCAGTAAATTATATTCATTTCACAGAACATTGTTCAGAAAGTATGAATTAACATTAAGTGTCTCAGGGAAAGATAAACCTCAGAATAGCTGTTCAAAACCGCCAATTGATTGCACACTGCAGACAACCTTTGTGTCTTTCTAATTTTCTTGTTGTGGAATTCCTATCTTTCAAGGGCATGGGAACTTCTCAGTATACTGATGAACAAAGCCATTGCTAATCTGCTAGAATTGTAAAATACATTGAGGAGAACACCTGCCGTCCAGTTATAATTAGGCCTTTTGGAACTTGTTCCCTTCCCCACACCCCTTCCCCATTTTTTCTCTTTGTTGCCAGACTGGTTTAGTGAGGTATTTAGTTGCAGTATTTCCTATTTGGTGCTGTTTAGGATTTCTGAGCTGAAGTCTCTTGCAGCACAGCCTATTGAATGGTGTTCCTGCATGTGGTTTGGACAGAGGAATAATCAAGAGCTGCTGTTATGTGTTCTGACTGCAGCGAGCATTACACTGTGTTCACCTGCAGTTCCTTAGTTTCTCTAAACCCAAGAATATCAAGACTCTGCTCTTAGCTGCTATTTAACTAGTCTGTTTATAGGAATGCCCTGCCTGAGAAGCAGTAGCCTGACTGTACTTTCTTCTTTTAAAATTATTTTACAGGCATACCTCGGAGATATTGCAGGTTCAGTTCCAGACTACTGCAGTAAAGTGAAATTGCAATAAAGCAAGTCACACTCATTTTTTGCTTTCCTAGTGCATATAAGGGAGTTCTGGTAGCCTAGTGGCTAAGGCACTTGACTGCTAACCAGAAGGCTGGTGGTTCAACCCCACCAGCCACTTCTCAGAAGGAAGATGGGGCAATCTACTTCTGTAGTGGTACTGCCTCAGAAACCCAAGGAGGGGTCACTATGAGTCAGATCCGACTCGACGGCACATAACAACAACAACAACAACAGTGCATATAAAAGTTATGTTTACATTACACTGTAGTCTATTAAATGAGTAGTAGCATTATGAAGAAATTTGAAATATTGTGAGAATTCCCAAAATGTGAGACAGAGACATGAAGTGAGCACATGCTATTAGAAAAATGGCATCAATTGACTTCGTTCATGCAGACAGTGTTGCTATAAACCTTCAGTTTTAAAAATCACACTATTTGTGAAGCACAATAAAGTGAAATGCAATACAATGAGATATGCCTGTACTTGATCATTTGGTTTCTGTCCTTTGCATTTGTAGCTTAGTCTGGCATAAACTTTTCTCTTTCTTTGATAAATTTCTAACCAGTAATCTGTTGCTATCTAGTCACGTCTGACTCATGGACACCCATGTGAGTCACAGTAGAATGTGCTCTGTAGAGTTTACAAGGACTGATTTTGCAGAAGTAGATATCCAGGCCTTTCTTCTGAGACACCTCTGAGTAGACTCAAGCTGCCAATCTTTCCCTTAGCAGCTGAGCACCTTACAATTTGTGCCATCCGGAACTCTGATGAGTGCCCAACCCATGGCCTTGAAGTCAATTCTGACTTATAGCAACCCTCTGGGACAGAGTATAACTGCCCCATAGGGTTTCCAAGACTGTAAATCTTTACAGAAACAGACTGCCACATCTTTCTCCCATGGAGTGGCTGGTGAATTTGAATCACTGACCTTGCAGTTAATAGCTGAGCGCTTAACCTCTGTGCCATCAGGGCTCCTGTGATAAATGCCTAGACACCCTTTAAGGGCCCCACTTGGCTGCCAGTTTTACCTGGATACTGACTCTCTTCGGCAGTGACTGAGACTTTATCTCCCTCCTTGTAGAGCTGTTGGGTCATAAACTGTCAGGGTGGAGCCCGACTGTTTGGGTTCAAATCCCAGCTTGTCCTACTGACAAGTTGCTCACCCTGAAAAAGATAACTTCTGTGTACTTCAGTTTTTTCACCTGTAAAGTGAAGTTAATAATTAACCCTATTTCCTACTCTTAGGACAATAAAAAGCATTCATAAAAATAAGGTGTTTGGAACAACTCTTGGCACCTATTAAGGAGCTTCATACGAGCTTATGATCAGTAGTATCGATTGCTATGTATTTCTCACTACACTGCCGGCTTCTCAGGGTGAAGACATGGCCTTATCATCGATGTGTCCCTAGCACCTAGCTTAGTGCCCTGGCATGTAGTTGGTGCTTCTTAAATGTTTGCTGGCTGAATTTTAGAATGAGTTTATTATATAAGTAGAGTCATAAGTAGAATTAATGTCATTATTATTTTTCACATGCCTCATCCATTGATATTTTTATCGTTGGGTCAAAATGTTCTTTCTCAACCAATGAGCAGCAGGTATTTTCCTTAACCAGCTATAGAAAGCCTCGTGTCATCAGCATTTTCGTTGCTGGGGCTGGTTGTGCTCTTTAAGAATGGAAACAGCCTGGCCCGGTCACAGTTGGAAGGGGTTTCCAAAGCAGTATCACTATGGAAGTAGGTTGCCCCCTCTTCTTTCTGAGGAGTGACTTGTGGGTTTCAACTGCCAGCTTTCTGGTTAGCAGTCAAATGCCTTAGGCACTACGCCACCAGAGCTCCTGCAAGAAACCCTGAGCTCCATAATTGCTTTAAAGCCTTGCTCCACTTTTTTCTTTTTCTTTTTTTTTTTTGCTGTTAATTCATCAAGGCTGAGTGTCTGACCCTGGAAGTGTCCTCCTCGCCCACATATGCTCCCTCCT